CTATGATAGAAAGAGGAAACCTCAGGAAGCACAGTCCATCTTTGACAGTTTGGTTGAAGGAGGTCATAGACTTTCTCTGGTTACATACACAACCCTCCTGGCTGCCTTGACCATGCAGAAGCAGTTCAAATCTATACAAACAATTATCTTACAGGTGGAACAGAACGGAATGAAGCTCGATTCAGTCTTTTTCAATGCTGCTATAAATGCATTCTCTGAATCTGGGAACATGGAAGGGGCTTTCAAGACTTTCTGGAAGATGAAGGAGAGTGGATTGAAACCCACCACTAGCACTTATAACACATTAATAAAAGGATATGGAATTATTGGTAAGCCTGAAGAATCTCTGAAACTCCTTGAACTGATGTCCCAAGAGGGAAATGTGAAACCCAATCTAAGAACATATAATGTACTTCTTAGAGCATGGTGCAACAAGAAGAATATTAAAGAGGCCTGGAACGTGGTATATAAGATGATGAGATGTGGGATTCAACCTGATGTGGTTTCATACAACACAATAGCAACAACTTATGCTCAGAATGGAGAGACAGAACAAGCTGAAGGGATGATTTTGGAGATTCAGAACAATAATGTGCAACCCAATGAACGAACCTGTGGGATTATTATTAGTGGATATTGCAAGGAAGGTAGAATAAAGAAGGCTCTAAGTTTTGTACATAAGATGAAGGAACTTGGAGTGCAGCCTAATCTTGTCATGTTTAACTCACTGATCAAAGGTTTTGTTGCCATCATGGACAGGGATGGGGTTGACGAGGTGAGCTATGATCCATTGCAATCGGGTGATCTTATCCATTTTCCCTGTAGATTTTTGTTTTCTCACATCACAACTGGTCATCGTTTTATTTGATTTCAAGCTGTTATAACTGCGTGGTAAAGTTACGAGCACATACCTTCTATTGAACTTGTAAAACTCTATTATGTAACTTATAACCTGTTTCAAAAAAAAGAAAAAAAAGTAACTGTGAAAAAATAATGAGGTTCAATTATTTTTTGCTTTGCTGATATGGTGGATTCTTTTATCAAGGCATGCTCATAAAATAGATTTACTTCTTCTGCTAAGAAGTAATAGCACGCTAGTGCAAGTATAAAACCATCATAGAATTTTACACCTTTTCTGGCACTAAAGAAAAAGATAAATATTTATAGATCCTCAATAGATTGTTTCTACCATCCTGTTGAATAGCTGCAAAATCTATGTAATATCATGACCAATAGAGCTTAGTTACTCAAAGTTACATGGCTACTTCACTAATTATTTAAAAATTTAAATTGATAGAAAAATACTCAACCTTAATATATATATATATGTATATATATATTTTAACTCGTCTTCTTACAAATAAATAGGATATTAAGATTGTTACATGACACAGACAAACGGCTCAATTGCAGGCACAAAATAGTGAGTTTGTGAGTTTTAAATCTTGGATCACCTATCTTCATACTATGTGAAATAATTTATCTAGTTGATCAATCATCGCAAAAGGAAGCTTAAAATTTATAGATGTAGTCCATTTTTGCAATTTATGTTTCTAAGAAATTATCATATGTAGGTTTTATGTTTTGTGCATATGTTTGTGTCTGTTTAGATTTGTCTAAACTATATTTATTCTCCAATGTAAGGAAATGAAAAGAATTACTTGGTTCTACTAAATAGTGGGACTTTCAAATCCAATGAATTTTAAACTATGATCATAGTTGAAAATTTATTGGCTATCACCTTATTCTGTTATTCCCTGAAAAAAAATGTTAAACTGAAGGAAGGATACTATGCAGGTTCTAACACTAATGGAGGAATATCAGGTGAGACCAGATATAATAACATTTAGCACGATCATGAATGCATGGAGCACAGCAGGATTCATGGATAAGTGCAGAGAAATCTTTGATGACATGGTGAAGGCTGGTATAAAACCTGATGCACATGCATACAGCATTTTAGCTAAAGGTTATGTGCGAGCACAAGAGCCAGAGAAAGCTGAAGAGCTCCTGGAAACCATGATTCAATCTGGATGCCGCCCAAATGTTGTGATTTTCACAACCACCATCAGTGGATGGTGCAGTGCTGGCAGAATGGACAATGCCATTAAGATTTTCAACAGGATGTGTGAATATGGAATTTCTCCTAATTTAAGAACCTTTGAGACATTGATGTCAGGATATAGTGAAGCAAAGCAGCCATGGAAAGCAGAAGAGATTCTCCAAATTATGGCAGAGTTTGATGTTCAGCCTGAGAACTCTACTGTCTTGGTCCTAGCAGAAGCTTGGCGGGCTACTGGATTGACCAAAGAGGCAAATAGAATATTAAGTAGAGCGAAAAGTAGAGAAAAACAGAGAACCTACCCAATTGAAGCAGGGGAAGAGATATCATTAGAAAAATTAGCCTATTCTAGTATACTACAGATACCGAATGCTTTTACAAATGACCAAAAAGCAACAGGTGCAGCTCAGAGAAGAGGTCGGATGGTGTCGAGATACACTGAGTTTTTGGCTGCAAAGTCCAAGTGTCTTTCGCATACATGTAAATTCGGAGCAAGGTCACTCATTATTTGGCATAAGCTATCTCAAGGGCAGTTCTGTACATATGCTCACTTTGCAGCTTCATGTACAACTGTTTTCTTAAACTGACAAGCAGAGAAATGATAAAATAGGGGAGAGCCAGAGGTGTTCAAATGTCAAATGTCCGGGGGAAATTCTGCCGTCACCTACATTTTCTCTATCATCCTTATTGTTATTTTCTTTTTGTTGCTCCTTGCCGGAAATGGAAAGTTACATATATAATGGCTTTAGTTATTATCAGTCCAACCATCGATTTATACCGTTGACATGAAAGAATGTAAATATTAAGTCTCTCTCTGTGATGTACAATGCTTTGTGGTTATCATTTTTTTTATTTATATATAATTTGTACAGGGAAACACCTTTTTTACTCCATAAATATCATGGAACAATACTAAGTTACTATAGTCGATTGAATCCAGGAGCTCAAGCTTGAACTCTCTTGGAACAGTTTTTATCCATGAAAAAAAAGTTTCAAACATAGAGGAACAACCTCCTCGAGCCATTGCATTTAATTTCAAGGATATTGAGGCAAATTCACTTGTAATAACTGTATGAATCAGAAACCTTCAAACCAAATGACACCATGGTTCCTTCAGGAAAAGATTCGGAGTCCCAAAAGTTTTCTCTGCTGGAAGTCGATCACAAGAATAAAATTTAAACTGTTGAAAAATCCAGATTTATGATAGTAGTTTTCTTCACATAGGTACTTCTCAACAATTATAACAATAGTTTTTGTTCAACAAAGCACTTGCCACCCTCTTCACTCATAATATCTCAGCTTACCAACCCAGTTAATGGTGTTCTACTCTCCTATGACAATTGTGGATTGATGGAGTTCTACTCTTCTATCACAATTTCCTATACAGGTCGTATCTATATAACAAGAGTTGTTCATGAACTTTTGTTCCTTTTCCTCTGAAAATCTGGCAATTCTTTGTCTGCATTTTCAGAAGGAAATTTGCTGAGGAGCCACACAAGAACCACGCTAACAAGAGCACCAGATAGATGTGCAATGTGATTGATGCTCTGAAGGGCAGAGCTTCCCTGTAAGGTGCTTGATAACCCCGCTGAAGCTTGTGCTGCTTCCATTACCTATTGAACCAGAGAAGAGAATTATATGATTCAACCGCACATCCCAAAAACTTGGCTGCTTCCATTCCCTATGATTTCAGCTTCTTTATCATAATTTATGAGAGAAAGGAAAGCTCTTACCCTCTCAATAACAAATTGGCCCAATATAAGAACTTCAAGGATCTTCCTCCAGTCCCAAGACATCTGCAATGACCCAAAAAAAAAAACCAGAAATTTCAGACAGATCAATTTTCCAGCCAAAAACAAAAAATAATAATTTGTCATCTTTAACTGCACATATAGCAGAGACCTTTACAAGGACGCTCATTGCAAAAAGTCCAAAAACAGCACCAGAGGCTCCAACAGAAACTGCATTTCTTGGCAAAATCAACCATGAAATAATGTTTGCTCCAACGCCAGTAAAAATATAAGAAAGCCACAACCCAAAGGCACCCCCCTCTTCTTCAACAAGCTTCCCTGTTGTACAAGGAAACTATATTTAAAATGAATGGAATTTATATGCATCCTTGTCAGCAAATGTTTTCAAAAGTCCAGCTAAAGAAAAGAATTAAATGCTCACCAAAAATATACAAGAAAAAAAGGTTGCTCGAGAGATGGTTCCTGAAAAGAATACCAGACAATTAGTACAGGGAAAAACTTTAAATATAAAGATAGATTTTGAAACTGTTAAAATATATATGTAGATTTAGCACCGGAGTCTTCAGTAGATGGTATTACATAAGTGCCCGTGAAACTTATGAAATAATATTTGACAGTTTAGGCAGCCTTAGCATTGAGATCTCACCAATTAGCATGACAGAAGGTTGCTGTCACAAACTGATACCACGCAGGCCAATTGTGATACAAGTAAAGAGATTTCACGCCCCTAACCTATAGGAAACAAAACAAAGGACTTGGAGCTTGTGTACTTACAATCCAATTAATGATCAAACCAAATTATTTGATTAAAATAGGAATTTTCCTTCTTCATTTATCAGCACCAAATCATATAAGAAATGAAAGAACAAAAAGCAGTTTGTGCACCTGAAAAAAGTGATCAGCCACATAAACTCCAAGATTGAGAAGTATAATCCAAAATATACCATTGACACGCTTCTCTCTTTTCTGTCTGTCCTCTGGCTTGCCAAGTTCCATCTGTGATATCATATCTAACATGCACATTATAAGGTTACCTTTAACATTTTCATCTGTTAGCTACAAATTTTGCTAAAATGATAAAAGCTAGACAGGGGATAGTAGATAATAAACACCATTTTTTAATGGCAAGTTCACAATAGGGCTTTCATCTAATATCACAAGCCATTCTCCATGAACCAAAAGTTTCATCAAGTTCATTCTGTGGATTATAGATTTCATCAACAGGATTAACATCATTACAAGAGTGTTTGACTTCGAAGCAAATGCATCCCAAACTTTTGCAGGATTCATTTGGAAATATTATAGCTTTTGGAAATATCACAAGCTACTTCAAACATTAAGATTAAATTTTAAATGAATTCTAAGTATGAATAAAAACACATGCTAGTTATATTTAACAAAAAATAACTATGATAAATAAATTTCTTTCTTGAAATACAAAGAGAACTATCAAAAGTACCATTGAGATACAAATCAACTGCCAAAAAGAAATTAAATTTCACAAACTATTTACAATATTATTTACTCCAAAAATAAAAAGGAAATTCACAAAACAAATTTCTAGCGAATTCATTTCAAAATGAAATGAATCCCGTTATTCATTTGCCCAAACATAGTCTGCATCTGGAATAACTTTATTTAATTAATTTCCATTGAATTCTATATCTTCCTCCTCAATTCTACGTGAAACCAAACAGTGGTTTAGAGTAGCCACTAAGTGCTTGTGAAAATTCAGCAAAGAACTCCCTGAATATAATCCCATTAAAATACAAGTTTATGTTCTCACCATACAAATGGACTCGAAAAGAAATAGATGAGATAGTTTACCTGAGCCGCTCATTCTGAACACTGTCCGATATCGTATGGCTGTGCCAGAGGAAAAGGAATGACAAGGAAACCTGACAGGTCCAGTTGGCAGCAGAGAAGCGGAGAGAGTGCAACTGTTGGGAGATTTTGTTAAAGAAACAAATCGAGGAAGGTGATTACAAGAAACCAAAGGCATGAAATTGCGAGATGAAAGAGTTGAGAGTCGCTGAACCTGAAATTGAAAGTGCGCCATTTTTGGAGCGAGCAGAACAGGAGAACAATCGAAGAGGAAAGAAGAAGGGACGAGTTAGCGCTTTAAAAGAAAATAATACATTTGGATATTTAATTGTTTAAAAGAAATATATTTTAAGAGATATATACCAAAAAGTACCATTAATTTTTTTAAAAGATATATATTATAATATAATTAGTACTTTTAAATTTTATTTAAAATAGTCTTCATCTTCAACTATGTTTTTAACACTATTTAATAAATATACATATGATAGATAATATTATCACATGAATATCGTACTTTAAATACTGAAAAAAGTATAGTTAGCGTAGTTGTTATATAATAAATATATTGGTTATATCTTTACTCAATATCCATATTCACTCTTTACGAACTAAATGTTATCTTATTTGAGTCATAGATTACACTCAAAAATTGTAGAATTTCATGGAGAATTATTCCTCTCGTGCATTCACCGGCCATTTTGAGTAGAAGGTTGAGTGATTTGTCGTCTTCCATTAAATGTTTCCTAGTGTTGAGCAATCAAGTCTTTTCCTTCTTCGATTTCACGGTAGTGTTGTCCTACATGACCTTCAGAAGAAGATATCATCCAATTATAAGAATATATTTTTTAAAAGATGAATAAACTATGGCTTCAAAGTTGAATACATATATATATATATGGTGGTAATAGTGTTAATAGATATACATACAAAATTTAGTATATTAGTAACGGAATAATACATCAGAAAGTCTTGTACTATTAAAAGAAAGTTCAAAACAACTCTTGTATTTTAGATTTTATATGTATAAATTTTTATCATTAACTTTTAAGTGAGTCTAACTCATAATAAATATATATAAATGTATATATAAAGGCAAGTGTACTTTCAATATTTGATGTGTGATTTGTATCTGATTAGATGTAGTAGTTGATATTTGAATAATTGAATATTTGGATTAAAAAAAAAAATTGTATTTATATATATGTATATGGTAATAATAATAATATATAAACATAATTATATGGTTGGAGGAGAGGAAGAGGAAACGGTGTCGTTTGGAGAAGAGGGAGTGAACAGTTGGGATGAGATGGGATGGATGGGCAAGATGAGAGGTAGGTGGAATATAAATAGGAAAAGAAAAAGAAAAGAATGAAGGAAAAAGAGGGAAAACAGAGAGGAGGAGACGAGGAAGAGAAGATTCGAGAGAGAGAGAGAGAGAAGCCGGAGCGGGAAGGAACAAGAAGAGAGAGCAGGAGAAGGAAGACGGTGATGGTGCGAGCTACGGAAGTGCAGAAAGAAAAGATGGAGACTGGAGGTACGGTAAAATTTAAGTTTCAAGTGTAGGATGAGGATGAAACAGGGAGTTGTGACCGTAGGTTTTGAGAAAATATATGAACCGCTTAGGAAATGGAGTAGGAAACTATGATAGATGGAATAAGAGAGTGGAAAGAGACTGTGAGTTCGTGAAAATGTGGATTGGAACTGTGAGTAGAAGGAAATGGAGGAAGTCGTAGGAGGAGAGATTGATGAGTTCGTTGAGTGAGTGAGTTACTGTTAGAGGGAGGAATACGGTGATTGAAAATGTGCAAGGGAGTTCGTAGGGAGGTGAGGTGATTTGGAGTGACTTTGGATGGACAGAACGCGCACGGATTGAAGCTGAGGTAAACGAAGGGGAGGCAATAGAGGTATGGAGAGGGGAACGATTAGAGGCAGAGTGAGTATAAGAGGGTAGTATGAGAGAAGTTGAAAGAGGAAGATAGGGAGAGGTAGTGTGCTGTGAGAGAGTGATAATGCTAGGAAGAAAATGACGGGAAGCTGAGACAAACAAGGAGAATAGAAGGAAGGGATGGAGAGTGGATTGGTTGCTAACAGGGAGTGTATGTATGTAGGGGTGGAGTGTGAGTATTTTGAAAATTAGTGAGCAGGAAATGTAGGCCTGTAGTGGTTGTGTGTGTGTGTGATTGGAATAGAGGTGTATTGGTGTAAATGTGTTGTGTGTGGGTGTGTGTTGCATGTGAATGTATGTTGGTGTAGATGTTGTATTTTAGGAATTGTATAGGTGAGCACTCGGTGTATGGGTGTAGTGGTGTACATGTGTTAAGTGTGAGTGTTTTCTGTATGGGGATGTGTGTGTAAGTTCTGTAAATATGTTAAAGAATTTGAGAGTTTCAGGACAATGTTGTTGGATTAGGAACAGTTTATGTTCGAATACCCGTCGTTGGGGTTAAGTATGCGAGTTTACTGGGCATCTTGAGTAGGAACGGAGTGAAATTGTTTTAGACGTGGTTGAGTTAGGGGACGCCGACATTGGTTGTCGTTACCTAGAAAAAGTAAGTTGATCGCCGATAGTGGTGATATTTGGGGGTCTCCGACGGGTAAGGTGTTGAATCGTCGATGTTGGTGACAGAAGAAAATAGTACCGGTGTGTGTGAGTGGCTAACTAGGGGTCGAGTGATAGAAGCGTAAATAATCGTC